CAGGGCAAGTTGATGAAGAACCCTGACTCTGTCTGTGTGTCTATAGAGCGAGAACACACATTGGTTTCTGAAAGGATAATTAGCAAGATTACCTCATCTGCTAGGAATTCTACTGTCAAATAATATTATTTAATTACTGATGTTAAAGCTGAAAAAGATGTTAAAGCTTTAAAAAAGCACAGAAATATTGTGAATAAATTTGAAGTATATGATAGAGGATTCTTTGGCAAGAACAAGTTTTTTTTACTAAATTTAATGTTTTGTAATAAAATTTGACTTAAATTATTAACCATGCAAATTAATTAAAAGCAAGACTTAAATTTGATCTTTCAAATCAGTAAACTGCTTTCATTTATTCAAGGTGCAACTCTTTAAATAACTTCCCCAGTAAACTACCCTGGATGTACACCTGTAGGCGTGCCCAGACATGCCCCCCTTTTGTAGCAATTATAGAAACATGGACTTCATTAGTGTTTTGATTTGGTGACCTTATAATTATAAAACAATTTAACACACAGGATGCTCAGGTAATATACTATAATCTGCTAGTGTCAGGACATTGCACCACACCAACAATGACCCTGGAGGAGAAATGGGGAAGCCCCTACTGAGCAACAGGATGTGATCTAATTCCCTAGGAATGTGCTACCTGACCTGACCACAACCCACCTGAGCTATGATAGATACCCCTAGTGTAAAAATGATCATCCCCAGGTGAATGAAATCTCCAAGCTGTAAGCTACATACCTGTTGCATCATTTGCTAACATATTCTCCACTGGCAGTGAGGTTTGACTGTAGGCGTGGGCACCTGTTAGAGCTGTCGTTGATTCAGTGCCGTTAGCCTGGGACTGAGTCACCAAGATGCTTTCCTTACAGCCCATTGTTTGATTAGGTTATGATTTAGGTGTGACTAGTGATAATATTTCCTCTCTGCCTCACATCTTCATTGCAATACTGTCTTATAGTTCTATGTACACTAGTAGTAGTATTTTGGGGTCACTTTAGCCATTTCTCCCCTCCTTGGCCATTCAAAGTGCCGCCAGCATGTGCATCAACAACCTCAGCGGTGTGCTAAGTGTAGTGTGTACAGGTAGCCGTGGCTATTTTTAGAAAGTGATATCATTGATAAGCATAACAATACTAATGCTTAGATAAATACAGCTTCTGTTGCTAAGAGACTGTGGCCTATATTAACCAATACCTTTAGTGTTAATGGCCTGCTCTTGCTGTCTTATCATTTTGAGTAAATTTGATGTGAGGAAATGGAATTCTGCCTGATATACTCGGGTGATTTATCACTTAGTGTCATCCAAGTGTGTATATAAGAGAATTTTAAGCTCATCTTGACATGACTAAGTACTGGCTTGACTTTTGCCACAACTCTCTTTATTTATTTATTTATTTATTTATTTATTTATTTTTTTATTTATTTATTTAAGTAAAAATTTGAACATTTTATTTATTTATTTAAGTAAAAATTTGAACATTTTCTTTCTTTCTTTCTTTCTTTATTTATTTATTTATTAAAGTAAAAATTTGAACATTTTATTTATTTATTTATTTATTTATTTATTTATTTATTTATTTATTTATTTATTTTAATGCAAGGATTCTCTGTATATTCTGATCCCCTGCATCTGTCCATGTCTAACTCAGTACTGTCACCATCAATTTGCACTTCTTCACCCCATGATTGTCAAATTATGTGTCTGCTTACTTGAAATTTGCTAGGGGATTTTGCATAGTTAAGTGAATGTCAATTTTCAGAGCCAAGGTTGCATTGTGCTTAGGTTCCTGTTTGATTTGTCCTTTGTATATATTTGTTCCTATATATTTGTAAGAGGAGGAGGTTTGGTTGAAAAGCAAGTCTGAGAGGGGAATCAGCTAAATAGTTTCACTTTGTTTTACTGAAAGAAATTTCAACTCTTACCCCTTAAACTAACATTTAGATATGAAATATATAAAATGTGTTTTTTTTTTTCATATAACAAGATGTTTTTGTTTTCAAGATGTTTTAAAATTATTTATGAGATAGTTTAAACAGTTGTTAGGTATTTCTGTTAGATAGTAAGGGGTTGAATATCTATGTTTCAAAACAATTTTTAGATTGAAATTGATGCCATTTATCATTTTAAAATTAAAATAACAGCAAAAACAGAAGTTTCAATGTTTATTTTCTATGAAACTGGATTAAATGTTTTCTATGAATACATTTTGTTTCTTCAACTTAATTTTTCTATAAATTACTTACAATTGACACAAAACGTGCTAATAAATAAAAAGAATGTCTAAATTACAGCTCTTGACTCTACATATAAAAATGCAAACCTACGTGAAATCTGATTCACAATTATTTGTTTTAACAAAGAAAGTAAAAATCTGGAAGTCACACTATCCAACAGCAGAATTTGATGTCAACCATGTTTGTAAATCTTGTTATATTGGCATATCAGATAAAACAGAGAGATATCCAAATTCTTTACACAGGCTCTTATTTTTAAGAACATAATTTTGTCATCTATTTAAGAAGAATTTTCTGTTTAAGTACACTGATGCAAAATATATGGAATAATGGTTGTTTGGAAGAATTCTAGTTTGTCAGTTCATATCCACTGTTAGAAAATCTAATATAAAAGTGCACTTCTACTACTTTTTCCATTTATTTACATATCCATTGCCACAAATGTCTACAGTTCCTCGTTTCTCCAAGAAGTGCTAAAGCTTAGGCTGAGGTATTAGTATTTGTATTCATCCTGCTCAATATACTGCCAAATATAGTTTCTGTCCTTGGTTTGAAACTATCCTCCATAGAAGGCTGAGTTACTTGTATCCACCCTGCACAGTATACTGCCTCATGTTATTTCTATATCCTTAGTTTGAAAGTATCCACCACAATGTTAATTGACTGCCACTTTAGGTAGCTGTATTCCTGGGAGTTCACCAGAATCTGAAAATATTACAGTTATACTTTGTTTTATGTATAAATGTTGTTGGAAGTTTCTGGATGGTTTCTGGTACATTAAGTTGTTAATACCCCGTTCACACTACGCTCAGTTATCCGGATAAGTTGCGAATTAGGTCACAATTCGAATAAATGCAGTAGTGTGAACGCAAGAGGATTTTGAAAATGCGCATTTTCAAAATCCTGCAAGCGAGGTGGATTTCTAAGCGCGATCCGGATAACTTACCGGAATCGACACCTGTACAGATCTTACTGCGCATGTGTGCAGATAAGTGCGGGTATCTATGAACGCTGGTTTATTACTTTAGCGATTGCACCAAACGTATTTGGAGGTCACCACTAACTACAACATGAGGAAACAAACTTATTTTGCCACCTTATACTTCTCAAGAATGCTGGAATGTCTTTTGAGTTGCATTTGTCGTCACAAATTTTTGTTGATATTTTAAGATTTCCTGTGCGGCGCATGCGCGAGTGTTCAAAACAGGAAGTTACACCTGAAATTTTCAACGTGGGATTCGGATTCGCTTAGCGAGTGTGAACGCAATACCGAATCGGATTCCTTACGAAAAATCCGAATTATAGAAATGCGCATTTTGGCAACTGTAGTGTGAACGGGGTATAAGGTCTGAAATCAGGATTTTTTTTTTTCAAAATTTTTAGTGAAAAAACAAACACAAAAGGTTACTAATCAAAATGTAAAGTAGAAAAATATGAAATCAGAATACCTAAATTTAATAGTTTGTTTTGTGTAGTAAAACCTTTACCTATAGTAAATACAATAAAGATGTGATACTTCACTGACCGGTCCATAAATATTTATGATGAAAGTACAATGTAGTTATATTTTTAAGAAATTCAAGTAGAAAAGGAGTTGCTGGTCAAAATTCAAAGTAGACATGAAAGTCAAATAGAATCTATTTATTGCATAGTTTTTGCAATGAATCTGCACCCTAATACAATAAGATATGAAACTTTACAGATAAGTCCCATAAACATTTTTAAGGAACAAAAAAAAATCAGGTGGAAAAGAGTAGCTACCTGAACTTGCTTGGTTCAGCATGAAGGGGTGGTGTTCTTTCACCCTGAATGGCCGCAGTAGCATCCTGTTATTTGGAGCCAGGGGTGGCTTGGATGTGATCATAGGGTTGCTTACAAGAGATATTTGACTCCCCTCACGGCTAAAGCCGTTCTCTGAGCTTACATCACTCTCAATGTCTTTCAGTCTGTCTGTATGGGTTGCAATACTGCACATGCTCCAGCGGCTCTCTGGTGTTGCACGGCCCTGAACTGGCGTGGAAGGAGGGAGGTATAAGTCACTGATGTCACTGTCTGTAGTGTTTGCATTAAAACGGTCTGTATGCTGGTGATATTTACTGGCTTGATATAACGTGGACCGATCTTGCATCAGACCTGGAGCAGGACTCACTGCAGGCAGCCTGCAAATTTCGTTCACAAATCCAATCCGCGCATTTCTCTGCTCACGAATTTTCTTCCTCAGTTTACGTGCCTCGCTCAGTTTAAGGCAGTCGATTTCCTCGCGTTCCTCCGATGTCCCACAGTACCCATGTATGCCCTTCTGTCTCTGCATTTTGGGCCTCTGCAACTGTGCAGGATTTGAAGCAACTCCTTCAGAGACATCAATCCTGTGTACCTGGGTGTTCAACCTGATCCTGTCTTGTATGGAGAGCACCTGGTGGCCTGATGCACCCGCTCCCATTGTCTTATATTTCCTAGTAAACTTTAAGTACAAATTAAATTCCCATTCCTTGCCTGTCGTGGTTGTTTCCTAGAAATCTTCAAGCACTAGGCACACTTGCCTCTACTTGAAGCTACACAGAATACATGAATGACAAGGGCAGACGGCTGAANCTAGAGGATCAGAGAGGCGATACCGCCTCCAGATATTGTACCACCAGCTGGAGTAAGCGCATTCGTATGGACCCCCCCCCTCCTAAAAGGGACACCATCACCAGTCTGGTGTTTGACAAGCTCTATAAGNGTGTGTGTATGTATATATATATATAGTTGTATGGTTTAGTGTGTCTGTATGGCTTAACATAAACACACACATGCACACACACACATGCATTAGGTATGTGTGCAACATGTTTGTGGTTTTATCTGTTATAATTATTGCATAATTATTTAATATGTACTCTATAGTTTAATTAGACTACTTTCATTTTTCAAAATTAGCCACAATTATTGCTTGCTTGTTTATTGATGTCTCTGTAATATGTTGTATTTACATGTATCTTCCTTTTCTTATTGTGTTTAGATGGGATTGGTTGTCAAAGACTGTAACTGTGACACTTGGTAATGAAGATGTTAGAATGGTCATGAGTGATTTCATCAAGAAGACAGATGAACCAGGAAAAGCGTTTTGTGTATGGTGCAGTGACACACTTAACTACCAGAGTCGTGGCTACAAATGTTTAGAAAAACATGCTTTCAGTAAAAAGCACATAGAACGCTTGAAGACAAGAAGAACGACTTACAGCCTAGGGTCATTTGGCGCTGTACCTGTGGTATCATCTAAACCAACATCTGCCCCTGCCACTGCAACTGGCTCGACACAACAAGCAGCTTCAAAACAAGCGGTGCCTTTGTGTGATAGAGTTTCAAATATGCAGGTACTCATTTTTTTCCCATATTTGTTAGTCTAGTGTTTATAATAATGATAATAATAATAATGTAGTTTAGGTTTTATATTTTGTTTAATGCACATGTGACCATGGTGACAGAGAATTATATAGTGTTTCAGTTAATAAAGATTTGTTTTTTAATACAATGGTTTATCTATATTCAGTATCACTCTCGAAATACCAATAATTTAAACAACTTTAATTGAGATAAAATTCATATAGAAAACTTTTTATGACAGAAAATTCCTTTTCCAATAGTAAATAACATTTGTATCATTTTCAGTTCATATATATTTTTAATTACATAAAAGTTTATTTCCATTTTTCCAGGCTATGTACCTAGCAGTCTTAGCAGAGTTTTCTTTGCCACTGTCAATGATGCCCATCCTGATTGAACTGTCAAAGGCTTCAAACCAAGACCGCAAAGCTTTGGATCGACTATCAATGGATCGTACTTCAGCATCCTATAAAATGAAATATGGACTTGCAGAATGGTTCCACGAGCAGACTGTGAGTGAGTTGAAAACTGAATTTTTCTCCTTGAACATTGACGAGAGCACAAGCAGCAACTTGCAACGTGTCCTATCAATACTAGTGAGTTACTACTCCCCTTCAAGAAAACGTGTCGTTGTTCAACATTTACACTCAACCAGTGTAATCAAAGTTGATTCTCTGTCAATTTTCAATCATATTGTGGATGTCTTTGACCGAAATGAAATTCCATGGCAAAATCTAGTGTCCGTACTTCTTGACTCATGCAATGTGATGAGGGGTTCTAAAAGCGGTGTAGAATCTAGGCTGCGGGCAGAAAAGGCACGTCATCTCCTTGATGTAGATGGAGACTCCTGTCACCACATTCACAACGCCACACACAAATTTTGCAAACCCTTTGATTATTGGATCGAACAACTCCTCCATGACTTGTACAATGACATGAAGTGGTCAACGGATATAAGAGAATGGTTCACAGAAATCTGTCTGTTGCTTGGGCTCAAATTCACCATGCCCGAAAGATTTGTGAACCACAGATGGTTGTCCTGCTTTGATGTATCTTCTGGCACTCAACGTTTGTTCGATGCATACACTGTATTCTACTATAGTTTCATCCCGAAAGATGAGAAACCACTGTACACCAGTGTTGTGGCTTCCATTCTGTCCCACAGAAACATTAATCCAGAAGCCAAGACTCGAATTCGTGAGCTGCAAACCGAAATATCCAACAAGGTGAAAACTTTAACGGCTGATGGCAAGAAGAGGAAAGAGCGTCTTGTTGAACGTCTTTTTTACAACAGACGGAAGACCAGACTTATTCTGTCCTTCTACATTGCAGTGTTGCCAATGTTGAAGAGTTATGTGTGCCTGTTCGAATTGAAAGAGCCTATGATACACCTCCTGCATAATCAGCAAGAAGAGTTATTCAGAAATTTTCTGTCCTGCTTTGTAAAGCCTGAAGTGCTGCAGAACCTGACCGCTAAGAAAATGAAAGAACTGTCCATTTCTGATGAAGTATTGCTAGATGAAAAAGACATGTTCTTTGGCAAAACAGCGACAAGTCTCATGGAGATGCACAGAAAGGATTCTGGAGTGGTGCAGTTTAAACACCAAGCAAAGCAAGCCTATGTTTCCTGTGCTGTTTACATGCAGAAGAAGTTGCCGCTGGACAGTACTCTACTGCGCTGCTTGTCAGCTTTGAATCCAAAGGTTCGAGGAGGAACAACTACACTGAAGAGGCTTAAGAAACTCCCAATACTACTCCCAAATGTCTTAAATGATGAACAAGCAGAGGAGTTTGGTAGAGAAATCCACAACTACAATGTAAGTGGCAGTCTTCCCCCCTTCAATGAAGATGGAAAACCACTGAGGCTAGATGTGTGGTTCTCGAAACTCTTCGAAGATAACAGCTATCCAGCACTGTACAAAATTGTGCGTGCCATCCTCTCCATTTTTCATGGACCTCAGGTGGAGTCAAGTTTTAATGTCATGGGTGACATCATAGACTCTAGATCAGGACGCATGAATATTGAGACGTACAACAGTATTCAGATTGTGAAATACGGACTGTCATCTCGCAAGGAAAGTGAGTCAAGCGTGAGTGTGGCATTAGATCAGTTCAGACGAAAGGATGTGGTGTATGACCCAGTGGATGTGCGTCTCTGCCATAAAATCAGAGGATCATCAGGGAAGTACAGAAAGATATTGGAAGAACAGCGACAAAAGTTAGCAGAGAAACAGGCATCCCTGAACATTTCAGCAAACAAACTACAATCAAAATTAGCAGCAAAGCGAGCACAACATGCTGCTGAAAAAAAAGCTAGGCTTGAACATCAGCTGCGGCAAGAGAAGGCTCAGAGGAAAGCGACCATAGGAGCAAGACTGAAAAAGCTTGTTGCTTTAAAAAAAAAAAAAAAGAATGTGTGAGAAAAAAAAAGAAAAAAAAAGATTAAAAACAAAAAACAAAAAAAAAAACGTCTAATGCTTTGGAGTCAAAGTTATTTGAACTGAAACTGCAAAATTAACTTTACATGAAAAAGGTCACAAATTTAATTGAACTGAAACTGCAAAATTGACTTTTAAGGATTATAACAGCATTTGAAAATTCAACAAATTTCATTTGAACTAAGGTAAGAAGGTTCTATATTAGATTGTATTATTTATTCTATTCAAATCATGTGCTTGTGTAAATTTGTATGAAATTTTCATGTATTTTTACACATTTTTTTACACATTTTTGCCTGATAGAAAGTTCATTTTGTGGGTCTTAAATGCAAGGAAAGTGCACCAATCATAATGCAAAAGTAAAAAAAAATTTCCATAGATAGATTGTATTATTTATTCTATTTAAATAATGTTCTTGTGTAAATTTGTATGAAATTTCATGTATTTTTACACATTTTTGCCTGATAAAAAGTTCTTTTGGGGGATCTTAAATGCAAGGAAATTGCACCATTCATAATGCAAAAGTCAAAAAATTTTCCAAGGCTTAAGGGGGGCGCACCCCCCTTAACAACCCCCCCACGCACACTACGTGTGCGTTAAGATTTTTCTTCGAAAAATCTTTCAGACTTTTTTATCAAAACCAAATCTCATGCCTGATCTAACATCCCAGAGACTCGAAAGGGCACCCAAGGGGTGTCCCCTGCCCCTGACTGGAGGGGTACACTTGATGAAGGCTGTGAAGGGGAGTACCAGGATGAGTTTACTCCAGAGCTGTTTACCTCAAGTCCTGAGCAGGGGTACCCTGTGCATTTCACACCAGGATTGTTGGGGGAGAATTATACAGAAAATGCTAAGGGCATTGCAATGAGGAACCGGAAGGGGCATTTACTCCCATCCCCACCTTTTGGGAGGAAGAGTGTCGGAACTTCATAGTACTCCAGCCCCTAGGGGGGTAACTAACTTGAACACTGAGCCGCCCAAGGAGTGGTGTGTGGATTTCTCGAGATGTCATTTCTACCCACCAAAGAATTTGACATGGTGGAACATGGTACCTAAGAATAAGGTCTAAATGTGTTGAAAATCAATTTCCAGATTATTGCCTTTTTGCATTCCAGAGTATGCATACTTACATAATAAACATGTTAGAATATCCTGAGAATGTTTTAAATGTGTTGTTTTTCATCTTTTTTACGAGACATGATCAAATAAACAAAGAAAAGTCTACCTGTTTTATAAGCAGTGGCAACATGAGAAATATACAAGGTTTATACTTGCCCTTAGATATTTTCTCTTTTTTTTTAATCCGCTCCCAATTTTGTCTGCATTGAAGACTACGCAAGTTTTAGATGTGTTGACCTATTTTAATGATGCTTCCAAACACGTCATGTTTTTTGTATGCGACCCGACCTCTTGCATCAGACTGTCAATTTTGACAAATCAGATTTTTCCACAGCATTCGCGCCGTATGAAGTAGCAGAGCCTCCAGGATTGAAAAGCTATGTATGTATGTATGCAACAAACTTTTTTGGTAAAAAGACTAATTTACTTAAGTGCTGTTTTGTAGTTTGGAAGGGTAAATATAATTCTTTAAATGGTTTCTGGTCTTCTTCGATGTCAATAGCTTATAGTTACATTCAATATTTTACAAAAAACGTTACTTTTCCCGTTGGGGCTGTTAGCATGCTGCCAAAATATTTTCTTATTGGAAATTAAACTGAAATAAAAACTACATTTAGTGTGAAAATTGAATATGTTCATCTTACAATTTTATAGCGATGTGGAGGTTTTTGCCTGGTGTGGCAAAGCCGCCAGAGCCTCCAAAACAAAAAACACCGACAAGTGACGAAAGTGAACAACCTAGCACTAAATGTAAAAAAAGAGAGCGCAGGTACCTTCCTAAATGGGAAATGGGGAGGCCATGGTTAAAAATGGAGGAGGACAGTGGGATGATTTCTATGTATTGCTCTCAAAATCAGGACGCACTATGTTAAGAAGGTGTCCTCCAGTCCCCGGTCTTTATCGACGGGTGCAAGAGTTACAAAAGTGTTGGCATACTGCATGGGTTATTCATGGCTACAAAGGTGTTTTTGAGATTCTGCCTTTGTTTTGGAGAATTGTGATAAAAATAATACACCCCCATAAGAAGCACAATTGCACTTTTGTACTTTTTGTTTGATTTCACTGCATCTTTAAAACTTAGTTCAAGCCTATGAGCCAAGCAGTGTAGTACCAGTCAGGTACATGAAACAGACCCAGTTGAAGAGGATGATGAGGCAATACCAGAATATTATATTGATCACAATGAATTGGATGATGTCAATGATGATGATGCAGATTTTGATGAAGGCTTTGGGGATGATGATGATGAGATGGATGAGGAGAAAGTTTACCAAAAGCTGTCATCTGCCATGGAGTTTTTGGCCACAGAGCCAGACTCCAAATCTCGGGCACATTTGCTACCATTTTTTTGTAGCTGTTGATAATTTTGGAAGAAAAACCTCCAGCACGGACTGGTGTATGCGTTTAGAGTACTTTTTAGGATAGTTCTTTGGAGTTTTTTAGAGAAAACTCAGATTTTCATCGGCACATATGCTACAGCAGAAACAAAATGGTGACGCACACTAGGATTTTTGTCAACTTTGCCAACGTTGGAGAGTTACTGAGGATACCTGTTCTCACAGAAGACCAAGTTTTTAAGATAGTGGAGTTGAGAGAGCAGTTGGGTAATTGAAATGCACAGTTAGTAGAGAATGCATTGCACTGTAGGTTAGCAGTGCAGGCTTATTCACAGAATATGGGAGGTATTGACCGGGCCAGTAGAGCCATGACATTCTACATGGTCTTACACAGATGTGTAAAATGGTGGAAGGTGTTCTTTTATCTTTTGGAGGTGTGCTTTTGCAATTCTTTAATTATTTACAAGCAGAAAATGCACCCTAAGCGGGTTAATGCTGAGAAGTTTTGTCTTGACATTGCTCATGGTCTTCTGGTGGGATTTGAGCCAACACCATCTTGCATGGGGAGGCCACCCAGAGATCCACCTGGTCGTCTGATTAATTTTGAGCATTTCATTGCCATAAACAGAAAAAAAACAGCTAATGGCAAATCACCTAAGCCAGATTGTGTCTAGATTGTGTCAGATGTGCTCTAACAGAGAGAAAAAGCCTCATCAGAAACAGTATATCTGTGATAAGTGTAAGGAGCCCATGTGCCCTTATCCATGCTTGAAGAGATACCACACCCTGTTGGACTATAAGCTAGATTGCTCTGAAAACCTTCACAACTAATAAGTAAAATAAATTTTCCATAAAACAAGTTCAAGGTAAAAATTAACAATGTTGTTTATTTACTTGTTTATTAGTTTTTCAACTAAGAAACAATTATTTTTCATTTCCTTTAAGTTTTTTTATTTATTTTCAAGTCATCTCTAATATGTAATACATTTACATACCAAATTTTATCAATGTAAAACTTAATTTATAAAAGTTATAAACATTTTAGTGAGTATCAAAAACAGCAGAAGCTGCTAAAACAATATGGCTGCCAGAGACAATGGCTGACAAACAATATAAATTGCTAAAGGTTAATGCTCCTACGGAGGAGTATAGTGATGCCACACTGTTGGCAGCTGATCTGAAGGAAGCACGAGAGAGCTTGTGGCAAGCTTCAAGTAGCCTCTAAGAGAATGAAAAGAGACTACGATTTGAGGATATCAGAGCGATCATATGCTCTAAGCGATGCAGTATGTGCTGGACACTGCCGCAACTAAAGAAAAGTGTAAAAAGCTGTGCCCACCATTGAGGGGCCCTGGCTTGATTGTAGCTAGGCTCAGCTCTAACCTGTTCCGTGTTAAGGTCTTTGTGACCAACCATGATAGGTTGAAACCTTGTCATGACAAGGAGGTGCCCCAGTGGATACAACATTGGAGGAAGAATCCATTGCCCGACTCCACGGCGAGGGGCGAGGACCGAGTGTATTGCAGTTGCCGTCAACCCTGGCAGGGTAGATTTATGCTGCAATGTGATTACTGCGGGGAGTGGTATCACGGGTCATGTGTTAATGTGACGGCCACGGATGCCTTAAGCATTAACAAACATAAATGTCAAGACTGTATACGCAGAGCTTAAGAGCTATGAGATGGAATGTGCACTTAATTGTTTCATTCTATTTCTAGATGGACAGCCGGAAATGGAAGGACTTGGTGGTGGACATTGAAATCTGCTCGGCAGAAGGACGAATATGGCCAATTCAGAAAATGGATGAGTTGGTGGATCGAGTGGCTATGGCGCCCAAGGACTGCCTGGGGCAAGCCAGCAACTTAATATTGCGCCAAGTAGCTTTGGCACGGCACAAAGCTATGGAGAAGTGGAGGAAAAAGCTAGCACAAGGGCTGCTAGCAGTGTATATCCGCCCCCACGCATGGATCTGTGACAACGTGGCACAGGTTCCATCTGGCAAGCCGAGCCCACAGGGCCCGCTCGTGATTTAAGATTGGGCACGGACCCAACTATTGAGCAGCATAGGTCGTATGTAGGTCAATCTATGGAGGTTGACGAGGCCGTCTTGGAGGGGCAGGCAGGGGGTGACAGCCCCCTGACGAGCGGGTGCTGGACACTCCGCCCTTAGAGACACAGGCAGAGTTTAACCTTTAGCACGCCAGCGGTGACTGAGGTCGCCGAGTTAAACTAACCTTCTGCAGCCAGCGGCGACTGAGATCGCCGCACAAAAGGGGTTCACTTCAATGCACTTATGTACCTTCAAATTTGATTGGACAAAAACGTGGCCTTCATTTTAGGTCAAGGTTGGTTCGAAATTGAGGCTAACTTGCCAATGTCGGCCATTTACTTGAAGTTAGTGACATAAAATACGATATTTGATCAATTTTTCGAGTGCGTTGTAACATGGCGGAAGCGGAGTTTGTTGATTTCATGGAAATATTTCTTGACAGTGATTCAGACGAAGAGTTTGAAGGATTTTTGCCTGCAGATCTTCTGGATAATTCTCAAATTCATTCTGCACACGTGTCAAGTGATTCAGGGAGTTCTAGTGATTCAAGTGAGACGGAAATTGATGACGGGATCGACGAGCAAAATGTACCAAGCAGATATGATCACAGTTGGCTAATTGACTTTTCAGAAACGGTAGGTGCAACGAATTTAGGAGAAAATATGACAGCAGTTGACTACTTTTTGTTATTTTTTACCGATGAAGTGATTGACATGCTTGTACAAGAAACTAATAGATATGCTGTTCAGGTGAAACAAGTAAAGCCTGACTCGTATAAAGTGCGCACATGGAGAGAAACTGACGCTTGTGAAATGAGGGCGTTTCTTTCACTGTTGCTGTTGACTGGACTTACTAAACGATCTTCTTATGAGTTATATTGGTCAACAGACCCCTTGATAGAGATGCCCAGATTTAGAAGTGTTATGTCCAGAAATCGTTTTTTGAATATTCTTACATTTTTACACTTGTGCAACAATGATAACATTTTGCCAAAAGATGATCCCAGGCATGATAAGGCTTTCAAAATCCGTGGTCTTTTTGAGAAACTTATTCCTCTGTGGCAACAGTACTTCAAACCTGGGAAAGAAATTTCAATTGATGAATCAATGATTCCATTCAAAGGAAGGTCAAACATAATGCAGTACATGCCTGCTAAGCCTAATAAATGGGGCCTGAAAGCTTGGGGTCTAGCCGATGTGAAGACCGGCTACATGTACAATTGGGATCTTTATTTAGGAAAGGACAGAAACCGCCCGTCGCACCAACATGGTGTTGCCTATGATGTTGTGACTTTTTTAGCCTCTCCACTATATGGGAAAGGACATGTCTTGTATATGGACAATTTTTTTTTCATCTCCAGTACTGTTTCATCATCTTGCTGAGAACAACATGGCAGCATGTGGAACATTGAGGATTAACAGGCAGGGTGTTCCTCCAAAGATCAAACAAAGCAAACCAAAGGCTGGTGATCCACCACTGACTGCCAGAGATGGTCATATATTGTACATTGCTTGGTTTGATAAACGTCCTGTGAATCTCATAACATCAGCACACAGTGCAGAAGTGTTCAAAAAAACTCCGTTCCAAACACAACAGGCAGAATGTTAGCGAGGTTCAGAAGCCAGCAGCAGTGCAGGCTTATTCACAGCATATGGGAGGTATTGACCGGGCTGATAAAGCCATGACATACTACATGGTCTTGCACAGATGTGTAAAATGGTGGAAGAAGGTGTTCTTTTATCTTTTGGAGGTGTGCTTTTGCAATTCTTTGATTATTTACAAGCAGCAAATGCACCCAAAGCGGGTTAATGCTGAGAAGTTTCGTCTCGACATTGCTCATGGTCTTCTGGTGGGATTAGAGTCAGCACCATCTCGCGTGGGGAGGCCACCCAGAGATCCACCTTGTCGTCTGATTAATTGTGAGCATTTCATTGCCATAAACAGACAAAGAACTGCTAATGGCAAGCCATCTAAGCCAGATTGTATCGTGTGCTCTAACAGAGAGAAAAAGTGTCATCAGACACAGTATATCTGTGATAAGTGTCTGGAGCCCATGTGCCCTTATCCATGCTTCAAGAGATACCACACCCTGCTGGACTAAAAACTAGATTGCTCTGAAAACCTTCACAACCAATAAGTAAAATAAATATGCCATAAAACAAGTTCAAGGTAAAAATAAACAACGTTGTTGTTGTTGTTTATTTACTTGTTTATTAGTTTTTCAACTAAGAAACAATTATTTTTTATTTCCTTTCAGTTTTTTTTTTATTTCCAAGTCAACTTTAATATGTAACACATTTACACACCAAGTTTTATCAATATTAAACTTAATATATGAAAGTTATAAACATTTTAATGAAGTGAGTATCAAAAACAGCAGAAGCTGCTAAAACAATATGGCTGCCAGAGACAATGGCTGACAAACAATATGGAGTGCTAAAGGTTAAGGACTCTGAGCTGTGGAGTGAGCAGACAGAGCCACGGAGCTCTGGAGCGCAATTGGAGCAACCGGGGGAATCACGGGTTCCCCAAGTAGTGCCGCCGGTGACCGATCCAGGAGAATTGGGAACCGGAGGTGAGTCTGAGTCAAGGGCCACGGAGCCTATGTGTGTTGAGGCAGGCTTGGAAAGCCTTGAATCCAGAGCACGGCCTCCGGAGCGAATGGAGTCAGAGGCAGGAGACTCTGTGGCAGTGACCGAAGGATCAGGGACACGGGTCTCTGAGTCCACTGACCACGGGTCAGGATCAGAGGGCCCAGAATTCCAGTGGCAAATTAAGGAGTCAAGGCGGAAGGAATCCCGTGGGCGTAGTTCTGCTAGAGGAGGGGGTGCCCAAAGGGGTGCCAGACCAAAGGGGCCCCCGCCACACCCACTAACGGGTTCACGGTACCCGAGATCACAGGAGTGAGCAGGAGGGTCACGGTACCCTAGCGAGGCTCCGGGGAGTTATTGAGCTGCACTGATGGCTCCACCCGCAGCAAGAGGATGTTCCAAGAGAGGGGGTAAGCCCACTCACCCTCCCGCCAAAAGGCCACGACGCCGACATGGAAGTGACAGTTCTTGTTCTCCTAATAGGAGACAAGGGAGTACACATCAGGGGCAATCCTCATGGAAAAGATTAGAACATCCTTGTGAGGCACGGCCTAAGTATTATCTGGCAGGTTGCGGCCAGCCAATGTTGGAGGAGCATGCTTTCAAGGAGCATCTGCCTCTTATCTTTCATCCTGAATTGAGCTCTTCGCCAGGGATCACGGAGCGGAGAGTGGCAGCTCTCCATTACCTAAAGAAGAGAATTGTGGGGTCTCACCTGACCCTAGAGATTTTGCTGGATGCTGCCAGTGTAGAGGACAGGGGTGGCCCTGTTGATCAAGTGGGCATAGATGCCCTTAGAGCGCATATACCCCAGTTGTTGAGATGGGAGGTGTTGCTGGATCTAATGACCTTGATCCAGGGGCAGGAGGAATTCCGCTCGTTGTTTAGCCCATCGCCTGAGGAGTTGCAGATGCTGCCTCAGTCCCCAGTGGGATACAATTCCCACTGTCATATTGATCGTACCAGAACCAAGTTATCCCTGGACGCCAGGGCTGGTTTGAAAAAGATCTTAGCGGCCGTTCCCACGGTGGAACCGGTGAAGATCGATGGATTCACCGCGGTCTATTGTGACCCAAACACTTACCCAGGAATAGGGACCCAACAGCTGATTCACTGTCATTGCTTTTTAGGGTCTCCGGATATGGTGCGTTCCTTTGTCCGCTTTTATCCAAATACATATTTCGGCGTCACGGGGCGCTTTGCTGAGCAAGAGGGGCCTGTCAATGCCAAGGCGCATGACATGCTGAGGACTCTACCTCTTGGGAGATTACTCTTGGAGACAGACTCTCCATACTTCAATGTTCAGAGGAACAAGTGCTCCACACCTGCTCTTCTTGGTCACATGGCCAAGTTGATTGCAGAGGTCAGAGGGGAGCGATGGCAGGAACTTCTGCGCCAGACCCGGGACAACGCACGGCGTTTGTACCTGGACAAGAGAGGCCCTGATACTTAGAATGGTGAGGGTGTGGTCAGGCTGGGTGCGACCTGACCAGAATTAGTAGTTTTGATGGGACGCCCATCATCACTGCAAGCACTTATCCCCTGAGTCCCACGGGGCCAGGAGGGTATTTTCCCTTTCCCACGGAGGAAAGTGGACTTTTAGTGGACTTTTTAGTGGACTCGGCACTGACACGACCGAGAAGGCACGGTCCTTCAAGGTAAAACGGGGGAGAGTGTAGTGCCGAGGGGTCATTATATGACCCGGAAGCATGTCACGGCACATGCGCAGTGAGAGAAGTGTTAAAAGTTAGAGCATGGCACGCAAGGCGCTCTGCGGTATCAATTAAGAGAGAAGTTAAGAAGTTTAGAAATCACGGATTTGGCGAGCCATCAAGTTAAGGTAAGCCCTTTTCCTTTTAACAGACCCGCTAATACATAGCCCCGGTGCTATATTAATTTATTTTACTCTATTAACAAATACTCATTATTTTAAATCACTAATTCCATACAAATCTAATATACTGGTACATGTAGGCAAAGATAAGAGGGGGGGTCTTGACATTATTTTAAATGGCAGAAGGGGGCTGAATTGTTTAATCAATGCAGAAGAGGGGGTCCTAAAAAAAAGAGGGCACGAAAATCGAAGAAAACGAAAAATTCCAATCTGTCACAAGTTACCCCTTGATCCATATGATTTATCACGCATAAGACTCACGAACTTGGAGCCAGTTTTGATTTCATAATCTCTTATGAAGATGTTAGTGGCATACTCATCAGAGAACTGGGCTACGAGCGAATCGCAATTCCCCGCCATTGTATACTGTACACAAAGAGAAATGACGTTTACAGCATATACCAAGATTCGCGACGTCATCGTATAGCCGTATGGAATCTAGACCTGACCTTTCACCAAAGGCATCTCCTAGGGCTCGTCTCGTGCATTTTTTTCCTGGGGTTTTTTGTTGGCCTTCGTCTTCTTTCTGTGCCATTCTGACAGAGTTTGCAAACTGTCTTGAATATTTATTGAAACCACCCCCAATTTCGAATTTGTTTTATACTGCCCTGTAGACACATAGGTCTATATTTGATACAGATTCAAAAGGATAGGATAGGCATGATATAAGAAAATGATTTCCGGAAGCAGCTTTGCGCATGCGTCCGAAGGCAATTCCGAAGATTTCCGAAGTCGCCCGTTGCCTTTATTTATAAGGATTTATTTATGCAATAGGCTTTATTTATTAGGATTTATTTATGCAAAAGGCTTTATTTATTAGGATTTATTTATCAATTATACCTTCTGGTCAGGTCTCGTTCTCGCGAGAAAACGAAACCGTGACGTCACAATCGAACTTTTAAACTAATAGAAACACAACTATGACATGTATGACAACTGACAACTTTTCAAGAAATAGGTAAGAAGATTTGGTGTCCACCAGTCAATTTTTCTTATCAGTGAGCCCGACTGGTGGTACAAAAGTTTCCTGAATTATTTGCTAAAAGGCTGATGTGTAGGCCTAAGGGGTGGTGGTTTTTTTTACAATTTACCATGTTTAGGCCTACTGATGGAGTACGACAGAATAATTGCGTAGGCCTAGGACTGACTCTAGTGACTGGTGGAAGATTTGGTGTCCACCAGTCAATTTATCTTTATCAGTGAGCCCGACTGGTGGTACAAAAGTTTCCTGAATTAGTTGCTAAAAGGCTGATGTGTAAGGGGTGGTAGTTTTTTTACAATTTACTGGTGGAATAGGCTACGGAATAATTGCGTAGGACTGACTGGTAGAGTGGGACTGACTGGTGGAGAAGGACTAACTGGTGGAGTGGGACTGACTGGTGGAGAAGGACTAACTGGTGGAGTGGGACTGACTGGTGGAGAAGGACTAACTGGTAGAGTGGGACTGACTGGTGGAGAAGGACTGACTGGTGGAGAAGGACTAATACCACAATTGCTGAGATGGGTGGTGTTACTGGATCTCATGACCTTGATCCAGGGGCAGGAGGAATTCCGCTCCTTGTTCAGCCCATCACCTGAGGAGCTGCAGACGCTGCCTCAGTCTCCAGTGGGGTACGATTCCCACTGTCACATTGACCGGACTAGAACCAAACTGTCCCTGGACGCCGGGGCTGGTTTGAAGGAAATACTGGCGGCAGTTCCCACGGTGGAACCGGTGAAGATTGATGGGTTTACAGCTGTTGACTGTGACCCGAACCATTACCCCACGGAGGGTGAAATGGAATGCACCCGAGACACCATTGCACCTTTGCGGAGTGGGCTAAGTTTCAGTCCATCATCAATCACCCCTCAGTCACAGCACTGGGAGAGGTAGGTTTGGATATGTCAGTGATGCCGTCCAGGTGGGAGGACCAGTTGTGTAACCTGGAGGCTGCCCTTCATTTTCTGGAGCCCGATCATGTGCTAGTTCTCCATGGGAGAAGGTTGAGCACAAGTACAGAAGCCGACGACGCCGTCTGGCATGTTATCCTGGATAAACTCAGAGCTGTGGGTATAGGGACCCGACAGCTGATACATTGTCATTGCTTCCTGGGATCTCCGGATATGGTGCGTTCCTTTGTCCGCTATTATCCGAATACCTATTTCGGCGTCACGGGGCGCTTTGCAGAGCAAGAGGGGCCGGTCAACGCTAAGGCGCGTAATATGCTTAGGACCCTACCCCTTGGGAGGCTGCTTTTGGAGACGGATTCTCCATACTTTAACATCCAGAGGAACAAGTGTTCCACACCGGCTCTTCTTGGTCACGTGGCCAAGTTAGTGGCAGAGATCAGAGGTGAGCGATGGCGGGAACTTCTACGCCACACCAGGGACAACGCACGGCGTTTTTACCTGGAGAAAAGAGGCCCAGATACCTAGAAGGGCGAGGGTGTGGTCAGGCCGGGTGCGACCTGACCAGGATCAGTAGTTGTGTTGGGACGCCCATCACTACTGCAAGCACCTACTCCTCCCCCTCCTCTCCCCCCCCCCTGCGTTCTCTGTGCTTGGAATGAGACCCATAAGTGTTCTGTTCAAGGAAGAGAGAGACAGTTATGGAAACGAGGAAATCTCTAAGCTAGTAGCCTACTATGGAAGCAGCCAGACAGCGACATGGAAGGACAGTGACAAAAACACCTGTGAAAATACATCTCCTCCATTAATTGATTCACAGAAGTGTTTGTCAGAATGGTCATTTGTGAAAGAAGTGGTTATTGCTGAAAAGTACCCAAGGGATTCAATAGTTAATCTATGGCAGTTGATTTCCACTTATCATAAAGCTGATCTTCCCAATCTTCTTCTAGCACAGCTAGTGTTGACCTCTGCAGTTCACACAGCAGGATGTGAGAGGGGTTTTTCATGTCAAAATAGTATATTGACAAAGGACAGATGTCGTCTTAATGTTGAATCCCAGCACAAATTGATGCTGGTTGAAATGGCTAAGTCTGTTGACTATCAGTTGGCTATTGATTTGTGGCAAAAGGACAAGGAAAGATGGATATATGAACTGAAGTAAACTCGTCACTGTCATATTGCTTAAATAAAGAAACTTGAAAAAATAAAAGTAACAAATTGTTAGTTTTGTGGTAACCTTTATTGTTCAAAATTACAGGGACCCATCATAATCTGCAGGGACCCATTGTTCAATATCATGTGCATCCTGTTGGACTCATAATATTTAAAGGTAAAATGATCACCGAGTTACATTCAATATTTTACAAGAAACGTTACTTTTCCCCTTGGGGCCGTTAGCATGCTGCCGAAATATTTGCTTATTGGAAATTAAACTGAAATCAAAACTACATTTAGTGTGTAAATTGAATATGTTCAACTTATCTTACAATTTTATAGCGATGTGGAGGTTTTTGCCTGGTCTGGCAAAGCTGCCAGAGCCTCCAAAACGAAAAACACCGACAAGTGACGAAAGCGAACAACCTAGCACTAAATGTAAAAAAAGAGAGTGCGGGTTCCTTCCTAAATGGAAGGCCATGGTTAAAAATGGAGAAGGACAGTGGGATGATTTCTATGTATTGCTCTCAAAATCAGGACGCACTATGTTAAGAAGGTGTGCTCCAGTCCCCGGTCTTTCTCGATGGGTGCACGAGTTACAAAAGTGTTGGCATACTGCATGGGATATTCATGGCTACAAAGGTGTTTTTGAGATTCTGCCTTTGTTTTGGAGAATTGTGATAAAAATAATACACCCCCATAAGAAGCACAATTGCACTTTTGTACTTTTTGTTTGACTTCACTGCATCTTTAAAACCTAGTTCGAGCCTATGAGCCAAGCAGTGTAGTCCCAGTCAGGTACATGAAACGGACCCAGTTGAAAAGGATGATGAGGCAATTATCTTATCAACAGTCTCCGCCTACTTGATGACGTCACGATATTCGGGACAAACAGTCTGAAAAAACATGGCGGCTCCCATTAGTCTGAAGCTTGTGCCAGTAGATATTGGAGAGAGCTATTTAACGTATTTTCCATCTTTACGTCAAAGACAGCGGGCAAGATCTTTCAGCAAAGGTTCTTTCGTTACTGGGGTAGAACTATTACAGGAAGTTCACTCAACTATAAGTGTTAAAGCGGGTGTTTATAAAAGTCAGAGAAAGAACGAGGCGCCACACATTGTTCGGCTGTCGATTGACAAGACCGCGAAGAGGATTGAAAATCCGTTTTGTACGTGTAAGGCTGGGTAAGTGTGTTACTTACAACTCATTATTTATCGTTTCTTTTACTTGTGAGTCGTGTGTATAGTTATTTTACATTGCCTTATTGAATCGAACGAGAACGCCCCATGCCCGCATATACCCGTACATGTATATATATATATATATATTCCAAAAAAAGCATGTATTAGACCGAATGTAATTAAAATGTATGAAATATTTTCAACGAAAAATAAGAAAAAACTGAATAATTTGTACAAATTCATTAGTATTGTGAATAAGGGGGTCAAGCCTTCAGGTTGATGTATATATATATATACTCTCTAAACAGTAAATGAGAATAAACTATTTCTGATTTCTGATTTCTAGTAAGTCCAAGTCTGGTCTGAATGTGTGTGGGGAGATAATTGCTTTGCCACTTCAGTTGAATTTAGACCAATTATAGTCTTACTCACTGCAGTTTAAGTTTGTTTTTAGTCTTAAGACTAAATTAAGAGTCCCTCCTTAATTTTTAAGACTGCCTTTACTTATTGCTGGCCCATAACTTAATACCTAATCTATTATAATATTAAAATAATAAATTAATAAAAAAACAGGATCAGTAGTTGTGCCTGTCACAGCTGCGAGCACCTACTCCTGAGTCCCACGGGGACAGGAGGAGATTTTCCCTTCCCCACGGAGGATAGAGGACTTGTCGGATGGCTAGGCACTGACACAGCCAAGAAGGCACAGTCCTTCAAGGTAAAATGGAGAGGAGTGTAGTGCCTAGGGGTCAAGAAATGACCCGGAAATGTGTCATAGCGCATGCGCAGACGGAATCTGGGGAGTTCCGTAGAGGCGAGTTCGAGAGAGTAGCTGAAGCGAGGACGTCTCTGAATATTGTGACAAGATAACGTGAAGAAATCGTGGAGTTGGCTGACCATCTAGCCAAGGTAAGACCACTTTTGTACTGTTGACCCGCTGATACATAGCCCCGGTGTTATACTAGCAAGATCTCCAACAACACTCAAAAGACCTGCTGAGCATGAGCCAAGCAAAGTCAAGACGAAACGTGGAAAACGTAACTGTGTGTACTGTACAAGGTTGGGCATTACAACATCATCTGGCAAGTGAATACAGACATCCTGGGAATGTACAACTTGTGCTGTTGCCTTGTGCAAAGACAGAGGTTGCTTTGCAAGGTCCCATAATAATGTAAACTAATCTCTGAATTATTATCAGACATAAAACTGACAAACTTGGCCAGGCCTGGTGCGACCTGGTTAGGGGATCAGAGTGGTTAGAAAGGTAAGGGCCTCTCTAACCTGCGAGTGCCAATGCCCTTTTTTCCAACAAGCTTATTACACATGCAAAGCTGGTGCCAATGGCAGATGTAAACATGTGGTAGCTGTCCTTTTTACTTAAATGACTTGAAGCTAAGTGGTACCACAGAGGTCCACGGTGAGGTCGCTTGTACAGAGAAACCAAGATAGTAGGGTAAGGGAAAATCAAAGAAAAAGGTCTGTAACTCCTTTTCAGACTTGTCATTAGTTAAGTATGTACCTGGTAAGGAGCCCAGAAAGTCAGAAGAGAAGAAATGATTGTGATGTTTTGGCCCATAGTCATACCTGCCAACCCTTATGATTTGGGCAAAAAGTTTCAGACTTTACATCAGGGAATGCTGCTTTAGATTTTTTACTCTGTAACTTACTACTTTTGATTCAATAAAAAATTTTAAAAAATTGTTTAATGTACTTGCATCATAATTCGATGTTAGATGATGTGATCAAATTTTCTGTAGTCAAGGAGCCAGTGTTCAACAGAACATCTCATGAGTATAAAAGTGATCAATTTTTTGTGTGAATGTGGAGTTTTAACCTTGAATATGACTTCATCTATTACATAGTATAACTTTCATGAGAAGAAAAATTGCTGTCCCTGCAACAGGCTTATGTCATACCACAGAAATATTCTAGACTAGAATAATAAAATCTTAAAGAACTTACAGCAGCTGCCTTATCACTACCGTACCACAAAACATGTCACTATTAACAATTTCTGTGTGGCAATTTAAAATTAAATTGTCATAAATTATAAAATAGCACCATGGTTTTGATTCTTATCAAACTCCCTTAAAATAACAATATCAAGATTTATTTTTTTTTGTCCAATTGTTTAGGCAGTCCATTTGCAATGAGTCTTGCAAAATTATTTTAAAATAAAAACTTGATTGGTACCTTAAAGGGATAACAACTGTTCATTTTGGCAAAAAAAGTGAATTTTCCTGGGGTAATGGACAAATTTTCCATACTTACCAATTGTAAATGAATCCATTCCCACATTCAAAATTGGTCCGTTTTTTTTTTCTAAAAAGTTTGTTTTTTTGTTATAATCTCTTAAGAGATTATTACAGAGTGTAGCCACCTATGGAGGTCACGTGATGTGATGGCAAGCACAAATTCCAAAATAATTGTTTTAACCGCCATTTTGGGGGTAAAATAGGATTTATTGTATTTCTGTAAGTTATTTATAATGTATTTATTGTGAAATATGGATATCTTACGAAAGGTTGTTATCTCTTTAAAATCATAGGGAGTAAATTTAGTAAATTTTAAGTTTGCTTAGCACAGTACGACATAAATAAGACTTGTTAAAAATAATACCTTACCACAGATGACAATTATTTAACAAAAGCTGAAAATTTTCTTCCAACCATAAGCTTGCAGCCAACAAGGTTGTCCGTCTTCATCAGCCTGACGCAAAATTTTCACCTTGTGCTAAACAGTCATCTATGATCCAACTACTAAACTAATGAATAATGCAACTGAACAGTGAGTTGAATAAAAGTGGACATAATAAATAATCCAAGAGTTATCATAATGAAAATGTGATATAAATGTGATCCATTTTCGTGGACCAGTGCATGCCAGTACCCAGTCTTGTATATGCATTTTAAAGGCCCAGTTAGATAAAATTTGCTACAAAGTGAGCTTCTATGCAAAAGATCTGAGAAATTTGACTTATTCTATCTATTATGCCTTCGACTTATTCTATCTATTATGCCAATCACCCCACCTCTAAGGGTGGTATTTTTTTATGTACAGCTTTTATAGAGATTCTGTGAAAAATAGAACTATTATGAATTATTGCACAATAACTGTGACTGGTTAATGTCAAACCTGAAATATCTTCTAAGACGTCATCTCCCCCCACACAAAGCACCCTCCGCCTCCCCTTGTATGCTTTCTGGATTACTGCTTTCTGGATTACTGACTCCCTGCTGTGTCCTCTCATCTCCTAGAACTTGTTTGTCTAAAAGTTTTTCTTTTTCTTCTGTTTGTTTTGTGGTGGTCCTTCTGTCTGCTGTTTCCTCATTCTCACAAGTTTCAAAGCTTGTGGCTGTCGGTCGAACACTGTAGATAATGAGACCAACTACTATCACAGCAAAAGCCACAAAGTACAGGACATGAAACTGGAAAATAATGAATTTTGTAGCTATTTTAGTATTTATATTATACACATCCCTTTTATACTTGCAAAAAAAAAAAAAAAACAGCAGACATAACGTGCCCTCACTAAAGAATATTATCCATAGGGTCACATTTTAAGTTCTTTTTTCTGTGATTTCAATTTGAAATTAACAAAAATTAAAGAAGCAATTTTAAAGTAGGGTCTTTTCATGCAGAGACCAATTAGCGGAGAGGAGGGAGAGGGGTAGAAAAGCAGAAGTTGCTTCTAAGTAGTACCAAGATCCTTTAGCTCCCTCCCCCCATTCCCCTGAGAACCTACACAAAAGAGCTATACCACATAATTGTGAGATACAGTTAAAATATTGTAGCTCTTCAGCGTTCATTCAAGCTTACCTGATACTTGAACAATAACAGACCAAAGAGTAAAACATAAAAATTTGTGGACAGAATGGAGAGATTCACAGAGGTGGCACTGGTGTATTTGATAACTACAGGCATGCTGGAGTAGAGCGCAAACTGACACAGGACAAAACTGACCAATAGCAAATCTGGAATTGAAGAAAACTCTCTGATCAACCTGGTAATGATGGGTCCCATCATTAATTAAAATGCTTTTTAACAAATTAAAAAAAAAAAGAATTTTCTTCAATATATAGTTTTTTAGCTTTTTAAAATAGTTTATATCATGTTAACAAAACATTTTTATGTAAAGTCTTTATTTTCTTCACATTTTCCTACCTATGTGATATGAAGAGAAATCTATGCCTCTGACTTCATGGTGTTCTAAGATGGCACTGAAAAAAATTGAAACATTCCATCTGAGATTAAGATAATTTTAAAATGTGAACATTCCAAATGACACTTAACTTATATGTTCAAATACACATACCAAAAAAATTATACACCATGTTAATTACAATAGTTAAACCCAGTACAAATCTTTTACCCGATAAAAAGAATTTTATTATAGCAGAGTGTACATCAAATTAAAAGGAATATTTGAGTTAAACATATGAATGAAATTTATTCAAACTGAAACCTCACAAAGGTCCTTACAACTGAACACCATTGATGAAGCTCCCAAAAAGTCCAATCATGCCTAGAAATTCCACCATGCCATGGCTGCGGACAGTCACCTCTTGGGCAACATTGGACACGCCATACAATGCAGCGCCACCTATGGTCATAATATCACCCTGCCACTGTCTGGGAGCTACGTAAGCCAGAAAGTGGTAGATATTTAAATCTTGATTTCAGTTTACTGATATAAGTGTGCGTGTGCGTGAGAGCGAGCTAAAGCTATATTTCACATCACCTGCAAGGTCCCAAATTCTTCCTTTAAAAACATGAAACCTGCCATTTTAATGAATGACATTTCCCCAATTAAATAAACAGTACTCATTTGATTAAAATTCTGTATAGGATTCAGCTTTGTGCACAAGTTTGGGTGTATAGGTCTCAGCGAATTAACCTCAGTATCTCCAAGTGTAAGGTGGAGAAGTGTGTATGGCAATATAGTCATATAACATGTCTCACCTGTATCTTGACTAGGATTGGCAAAACTGTCCACAGCCACCAAGCCTCCGCCGCCAGCGATACACAGCAGAACTCCGCAGATGTGAGTGGCCTGGAAGCGCACTTTTAGCACAGTCCAAGACAGCAGCATTACCACTGGGACACTGAAGCCATTAAGGAGCTGGAATGGATGGAATGTCACTTATCTGATCAAAATGCTTCAATCTCTAGGAGAGCTTTGGGTGTGTGGATGGGTGGGTGGGTGGGTGGGTGGGCCCTTGGGGGCAGGTTGAATGAATTGCACTTTTGGCTGGGAAAAGATCCACAAGGAATCAAAATTTGACAGAACTTCTATGAACATATATAGGTTCCATTGTAAAAAGGTTCACTTTTAAAGATCTCCCCCCCTTTCAAAATGCTGGCAACAGCATGTTCAAGTTCCTCTGTTTTTGCTTACTTAGAATGCAAATCGGGAATTAAAACATCTGCGTCCTGAAAAGTAATATTTTCATTCACAACATAAAGCACAATTTTCATGCTGAAAAATCTGCAAATTGGTTGTTGATCTAATAAATTAAATAAATATGAAAATAATAATTCACAGCAGTCAATGCCTACCTGTACACTGTTGACAGTGGTGTACCTATATGCACTGATTATTAGGTAATTAGCTTCCACATCAGCCACTGCTACCAGAAAATACTTCCAGCCACGACTCCGGAGAACAGAGCAAATATTCTGATGTTCTTTCCTAGAAGCTAGGATGGAGCCATAGATTCCACCAAGAAGACAGTAACCAACAAATGATTGAGCTAAAAAAGAAATGAAAAAAAAAAATTAATTAAAAAAAAAAAACGAGCGTCAGATAAAGTGTTCTTTTTTCATGTCCCTATGAGGTCACATAATCATAAAATGGATAAGTTTATTATAAATAAAATATACATATACCTATTTCATTCCTATTTAACTTTTTTTATTTTTCAGCCTGTAACCCCAATAAACACGTTGCTACTTGAATCAAAATTTGTTGAGAACTTTTTAAAGCAATGTAAATACTCTTTTGTCACAAACAAATTAAAGGTAAAGAAAAAGCACTGATGAGACTTTTCCAACTTTTGTCAGAATTCCTTATTTTTCTGGGTCATTTGGGTCATTCTTGTGAAACGTGTACCCTGGACCCTTGGCCAATAAAGGGAACCGGAGAAGATCAGCATTGGTCAGAATTGTGNAAAAAGATACAGCTGTGCACAGCAGTCGGAGATCGGTACATTCCACTTGTTAGTTACGAACTACTTCCTGGTTTTCACAAGGTCCTTCAAGACCTCTAAAACATCGTTGTAATTGCAGCCCATACCATAAAACACCCAAAAATACTTAGATATGGACATATCGGATTATATTAATGCCAAATTTCCACATGACAACGATTTATAGACTCCCGGGAATTATTTCCCCTTTACGCTTTTTGTCGCGCTGGCGGTCGACGCAGCATTTATTTCTAAACAAGTTGACCGCCAATTAAGCACGATTTTGCACCTTCAAGTTCCGTGTCACGTTTTCATATCATGCATTTATTATTTCTACAAGTTTTCTCTGCCCAAAATGCGAAAAAAAAGAGAGTTATCTTACCATGTTGTTTAGAAAACTTCTTTTTCCTCCGACAACCCGTCTTCACTGCCTTTCACCTCTATGTTAAAATGACCACTCAGCTTCGTTTCTAACACCACTGCAAGTCACTTCCGGCACAATTCTGACCAATGCTGATCTTCTCCGGTTCCCTTTATTTTTCTACTTTTCAGTGAGGACTGATCTCATCCCTGTATATTGTTTGGGAGTAATAACAGAGACATGACCATAACCAGAAGCTGAGTAATGACCTGTTGGGGCCTGTGTGTGATACCACTGCTGTAGCCCCCCACTACACACAGCCATGCCACAGAGCAGCAGGGACAGCCACTGACCTAGTGCTACAGCCTTGCCTACAGACCTGCAGAAAATAAATTTATTACCTACAAAACACAATGAACTTTTTAACAAACTAGATGATGAAGTTGTTGCTTACTGTTATTGGCAGATAAATTACTCGGTATAAGGCATTGACAGACCGTATTCGACCATGCGTGCAGAATCTGACTCGTTTTTCATCTAAAGGAAAGGAAACACTTTTAATTAAAAATGTCATCGCGTCCATTTTTGATTCGTACCTCCCAACTCCCATACAAAATTAATATCCTTACTCAGATGACGGTGACATATTTCAATGACTATTAAATACATTAGTGTCGGGGGAAAACAGACATGTTGATAACATACGCCAGCGATGTTGCTTGCTGTGGCTGTGGCATCTTATTTCAACCTCTCTCCTCTCCACCTCCTCTCCACCACTCCCGCACACATGCCGTGACCTATTTAAATGTGCGCGCGCAATTTTAATTCGGTGTTGTTAATTTTTTCTACGCAAGTGGAAGCCGGGTTTTAAACAAAATTTATTTACTTTCTGTGCAACTCTAGGTAAACTTGTGTCAAGAGCTGATTTTAGCCATAAAGGACTTCTCCGAGTGTCAACTAGCTGTACGCTCGATCTCTTCTTGAGAGGTGACGAACTTTGCCAGGGTCAGCTACAGTACATGTACAACAGTTGTTCAAAGTGAAAGTCTTTATATATATATATATATATATATATATATATATATATATATATGTAAATATAAGTGCACGGGTTATTACTTCACACATCTGATGAAATGCTGCCCTTAAAATCGTTGGTCTTAACCTAGTCTTCATGGTTCAACCTGATGTTATTCATCTGAGTGTGATCACTAATAGTAATACTACATGAAGTGTACATGTGGGATGTAGTATATATACAGACTCGGGAAACATTTAATACAATTACCATATTCGGTGGCGGATTTAGAGGTGGGGGAGTCAGGGGGTGAAAAATATAACACAACAATATTCCCCTCTTGAAATTAAAATGTTGACTAGCTAAACCATATGTATAGTTTTAAATTGCTTTTTGCCCGACTCTGTGTGTGTTTTTAACTGTACCAAAGGGCACCGTTTGCTCTCCAGAAAACCCAAAAATTTTCGGAGCCCTTGAAAAGGCCCCGACCCCCACACAAAGGGGGCAATGGTCAGCTTCGCATCTGAGGTCTGTCATTCTAGACCCCCCCCCCCTTCAAATAATCCTGGATCCGCCCCTGATACTAAACATAAACTATATCTGGATGATTTCAGACATGTCAGAATATTGAACAATGCCAGTAAGAATGTTTTTACATTTTCTTTCTCATAGTCGAAATATGTTTAGCATTTGGCAAAATTTTACTGTAATTTTAGAGTAACCACAGACTTATAAAAGGTCTTATTTATACACGTATTAATTGCCTAATATAGTTTTATTGACAACCATGAAACCAATTACTAAAATGGTTGTCTATGCATACTATGTTTAGGACACTAGTAATAATATTGATGTTATATTACTTCATGTTTTAACTTAGAGAAATTGGCCATAATGCCGGTACTTATATGATTGCAAATTCTCTCAAAATACAGTGTTAATTGAATTAATGTTACCCAAGGCTCAAATGAAGTGATTGGATTATTAATTAAGAGATGTAAACAGAATTTATTGCCAGGTCAGTAATTCAATCTCAAAACATGACTTGTCACTGCTTGTTGTCACTAAATAGAAAAGGGAATAGAAAACAACTGATGATTCTCATACCTCAAAATAGAATCAAATGAAATGAAAACAAAACTGATGAACTGAAATGACAGCTAATGAGTTTACCCAGAAATATGCTCTGTAATTCTATGCCATATGGTTGTATGTTTAATACTGATCAGTAAGTGCACATATGTTTAAGTACTGGTAATTTTTTAATGTGTCCAATGTTTTTATGTACTAAAATTTTTTGCAGAGCATTTTCAAAATCATTTTATGCTATTATTTTTTCCAATAATATTTTCGTCCCAGAAGAACCGTGTTATAGCTCATTGTAATGGAAGTAATAGCATTACAGTTTTGTCTGTGGCAGATATCACAACAACAGTTGCTATCCGTTTAGAAAAACAACATTGTCATAAAAGAGTTGATGCCAGAACACCTTTAATTAGAATAGAGCACTAAAATCTATACTTGGTTGATATGCATTGTAGAGCAATTCCAATATCATTCTCTTCCAAAGCTCATACATCATCCACATTAACAGAGGTGTTACTGCTGCACTAGGATATGTCAGCACACTACGCTAATGATTTCACTTTGTTTGCTATTCTCCTAAACCCGGTGCTGTCCAGCTGGAATTTTGTATTTTAGTCCAAGGCAGCTTTAGCATAGATCTTGGAGCAGTATTCCCCAGGTACTTGCAAGCTATTAACTGCAGCATAACGATTAGATGAACTGTCTGGAAGCTATAGACTGAACTGTACACTGCTCTTGCTTTTTTATTTCATCTAGTTATTCAGAAGAGCCACTGGAAAGTGACAGCTAGGATTGAAGGACTGATATCTGTGTATCTAACATTCTGGGATGGCAGAAGGAGGAGAAAAGGCGCAGTTTACCTGTGAGATCTGTGGCCAGGAAGGGTTAAGTGAGGAAGACATGCGGTCCCATGTATTGATTGTACATGTGGAAGGCTCAGTATCGTGCCCATTTTGTGATATAGAGGGCAGTGCTGTTGACGAGATGAATTATCATATTAACATGGTTCATTTAGATTATTTGAGTCCATCAAAGGAGAGCAGAGGAGGAAACAATTCCACAGCGCAGAGCAGCCGCCCAGTCAGTAACGCAGACGACGTGGAGGAAATGCCGTGCTATGGGAAAAAAGCAAAAACAAAACAGACAGTGTCTGGTAGGGATTCCCCCCAGCTGCTGGTCAGTAGTCCAGTGAGACAAGGGTCAGAGATGACCAGGCAGGAGTCTTCTACCACCCCCAACCAGGCCAGTATGAGGGCCAGGCTGTACCTGGAGGTGCGGTCCCCAGGGGCTGGCAGCACCGACAGCTCTAACATGGACAGTGCCAGCGAAACCAGCACCGGGAGTGAACCCATGGACACAGCTCAAAGTTCAGACAGTGACAGTGGGGGTCAGCCATTCCACTGTCCACTCTGTGCATGGAGCACAAACTCTTCTGCTGAAATACAGCACCATGTGAACTTTCAACATGTGGATATCCTGAGCCCAGCCAACCCCAGGGGGAAGGGGCTCCTACAGGGGGGACTGGAGAATCAGAATGACATAAACATACCATCTACTAGTAGCAGTGGTGCCAAGGAACTGTTTGAGTGCCCACTGTGCGGGCTACACACACATACTGCTAATGCCTTAGAAGTGCATGTGAACATAAAACATAAAGATATATTGAGTCCAGAGGATGGTATGCTGAGAGCCCCAATAGCAGAGATTGAGGAGGATGACAGCCACTGTTGTCCTGTATGTGGGATGGAGTTTGCATGTCTGGCCAGTTTAACGGCCCATGTAGATGGTCACTTTTCTGCTGCCCAGACACCAGGTACCAATATTTATTGAAAAGAAAATTTTCTAACGAAAGGAAAATGGTTGAAACGTAAATTGTTGGACTTCTCATATGGTTTTTTTTATATAGAGTTTCACTCTATAGTTCCTCATTTACAAGGCCATTTGGGTAATTTTAAGAAGACATTTATACTAGTTTCTGGAGGACTTTTTATTCAAATTGTAAATTAAATAAAGGAATAAATAATCACGAATGGAAGAACTCCCAATATTTTTCACCCATAAGGAAATATCAGTGTTGTAATGAATTTGTGACCGTGCATATTCTATTGTATTAATTTGAAATTCCTAATGCCTGTCTTTGTTTCTTCTGAAGTAAATGGAGTGGCAGACAATGCCCTGGTACAAGACATTGAAAGAAAGGAGAAAGCTGCTCAACAATCTCTAGAACAAAAGGAGTTTGAAAGGTTACAGGTAAAAAAACACATTTATGTGTTGTCAAACCAATAAGCTAGATAATTTGATAGTAACCCTTACAGTGCTTTCATTACATATAGAAGTATACAGAAGCCTACTTTTCAATTTTTTGCTAAGGAACAACTCTTCTGGAATGTTTTAATTTTCAGAATTAATCACTTAAAGTACCACACTCACAGTATCTGAAAAATTCACAATTTTCCTCATTGAAAAGATTAAGTCATTACCATTATTTTAAATGTATACTTGATGCACAATTAATCGCAAGTGGACAAAATATTCATTTTTGAAAAAATTCTCCTCGTTTTATGGTTTTGTCGACATACCATGTATTCTGTGCTATGTCTAGATGGAAATTATTTAAAACACTAATTAATTTCATGAATACACTTTTTATAAATGAACTATATATACAGGAAAAGTGATGGCCTCTTTACAGTTACTACAAATGTCACATAAGTGTAGTATTTACTAAATATAAAGGTGCCTGCTTTGCTAGAATTAGTTGTCATAGTTATCAGGGTTGCACAATCTGTAGATAGTCATACATACGAGATATGTATCATTTGGAATGGAAGTAGACATTATATATCTTGACTGTCGATGTTATAGATCTTGACTGTCATACAGAATTATCTGCTTCACTCGTAACACTTGGCTTTTTCCCCCAAGGACATAGCCAAAATCACCTGGGGTAACATATGGTAACCCTGGGGGACGGGGAACACCCACATATCCTGTATACCCCTGAGTTTTGGGTACAGTGTCTTTCCCTGGGGGACAGGGGGAACACCCACATATCCTCTATACCCCTTAGTTTTGGGTACAGTGTCTTTCCCTGGGGGACATGTGGGGGAACACCAACATATCCTCTATACCCCTTAGTTTTGGGTACAGTGTCTTTCCCTGGGGGACAGGGGGAACACCCACATATCCT